AGATCACTAATACTGCCTGCTGTTATAGCTGATAAAAGATTCCACACCTATAAGATGTGCCATGCCCCTTTTTACAAACTCATTTATATACATATGTATATCTTTCCCTAAGCACCTACCATAGGTATCTGTGCATTTCAAATTTCGAGTTCATGTGACAATAATTCCGAAGTTAGAGCTGATTAAAAATTTTCACTATGGGAGGTACCCCTCATCCCCCTCCCCCCCTTGGCGAGTTTCAATTTTTTTACCCTATTATATGTCCAGGAGTCATGGCAATACTTTGGCAAAATTTTATTCGATTCTGTACATCCGTTCAGGCTGCAACCTGGTACATACATACATACATACTTCCACAAATATATAGTAGATTTGCTTTGAAGTGCCATCTTGCGGTTCTTTAAATAAAAAATAGATATCAGAAATTAATTTTTCGTATCACAAAACTCCCGAGCACAACTCTTTATTACAAAAAATATATATTCCTAACACTTTAGTAAATATTAATCTGATTATGGACTTAGTATTAATTAAAAATGTTTTCTTTTAAAATTGCGCAGGCTCGAAATTGATTTTAGAGCTATGGTCTAAAGGGCTTTTTTTCTTAGAACTTTATGTAGAATCCGAATCTGCTAGGAACGATGTCGAAAAAAAATTGACCCGCCCTAATATACATATGTATATACAATTTATATTAATGTAATTAATAACACCTGCTGTGGAAAAGCTATTATTGCATTTCATTCCATAACACCCATGCTATACAACTGTCCTATGATAATCTGCTACCTAGTAAATTATATATGAGAAAATGGATAAAATGAAATGATATTAATGTTTAATTTCTAACCAAACCTATGTATGTAAATCAATCACCTAATTGTTTGCCGAGACGTTAACATATGCTTACACCCCAAATTTCGTGAGTACCTGGTACTCACACCTTTTTTAAGAAGTTTCACTTCTGTCATGTGTACGGTGCTACACACGCTCTTTTTTCATTGCACTGGCTTCTGAACAACTGGGGCATAATAGATACCTCATATTTTTGGCTCGTTTGGAAATGATTGTGTATTTTAGTATAGAAGATGTTTGTTACATTTTATGTGGTCAAATATATTTGGTACGCTTTCCTTTAATTACAATTGGCCGACTTCTGATGTATCCTTTGCGACGTTTAGAGTTCTGCAAAATATGAATATAAATGAGTTCAGTTATAAAATAATCAATTTATTTTCGATGTATTTTGGAACGAATTTTCTTCATCCTTGTAAAATTTGGTTTGGTTCTCGGAAAATGAAAAATGACACTGAAAATGGCAGAACGCCGATACCGGTTAGTCACCAAATCTGATTTGATAAAGGTTTAAAGAAAATCGTTCCAAAATATATCGTACAACCCCGAAATGGAAATAATTAATTTACCTTTTTTGAAACATAATTTGTTGGGGCCAGCATTCTTTCATTGCGTTTTAGAGAAGGTCGGTTGAATTCATGTGACTTTTTTACGCGGTAAATCCTCACCAGCCAATGCTCAGTAGTATACGCTTCTTCAAGGTAAGTCAGTTCAAAGTCCTTATTTCCAATTATTGCGTTTCTTGTACGATCATATCCTGCTGGTCCCCTAGGGTAATAATTTAATATTCACTATAGTTTATTAAATTTTATAACTTGATAGCATGAAATTGAGATACATTTAATAATACCGTAATGTGTTAGGATAATAACTTTTTACACGCCTTGAGAAATTTTATATGGATAGAAATGTTTGTAAATGGTCGCCTACCTAAACTTCAATGTCAACAAACAAATGAAAAAATTCGGAATTTAAAGTCTTGGTTAGTTGTATTAAATTATTGGGGGTTTTCACCTTCGGAATTAACATACAAAATGATTAAGGGCGGAAAATCCCTTTTTCAATATTGCGAAGTGAAATATACAAAATCTTATACAGAAACCTGAATTGCTCTCCGTTGGTCTCGCTAAAGCTCGAGAACAACTTGCCTAAATTAAATATTTTTGTTATTTCTTCAGTATAATACCCAGATTGTTTAAAAAATAGAGAGTTGACCACTGTTTGGAATATATAGTTTAATTAAATTTATAAGATAAACCAAAATTGGCGCGGGGGTTTAAAAAAGCCCACTTTCGGAAATGTTTTTGACTTGATTTGCCAACTGCTTGAAAATTTTATTCAATGAAATTGATAAGATAAACTAAATATTACAATATGGGTATCAACATATTTTTGAAGAAGGTCGCCACCTTTTTGAAAAATGTAGTTCAAATTAATGATAAGGCGAATGAAATGTTACAACACTGGTGTAAAACTAAAGCGGTTTAAGAAAGCTTAGTTTCTAAAACTTTTGTAAGATGTTTGCCATCTGTTTGAAATTTTCAATTCACTTAAATTGATAAGAGGTGACGAGGAAGTTCGTTCCAAAATACAACAGGTTTAAGAAAGCTTACGCTCGGAAATATTTTTGATGAGGTTTTCCACATGTTTGAAAATTTTATATCAATTAAATTGATAAGATAAATAAAATATTACAAAAAGTGTACCAAGCGAAAAGTGTAAGAGATCCTTTAGAAGAAATTCGAAATATCGAAGAACATCGAAATAAACAAATAATTTACAAGATATTATTAAGAGAAGTGTTCAAAAACACTTTGATCCAGAAGCTTTTCAAAAGCGTTGCAACTGACTTTGTAAATTAAAATTAATGCAGAGGGCTTTTAGTAATAGACTTGAAATGCTAGCGTAGCGAACTTCGTCCCGCCCAAAATAAATTTTTGTTTTGTTGAAACTTTTTGGTCCAAGATTTTCATTAATAATTCGGTGACAGGTAATAAGATCAACGGAAATAAGGTAAATTCACTTTAATTCCCACCCTGGTGCGAAATAAAGTCAATTAAAATTATTACCTTTTTAAAAGCGAAATAAAATCCATTGACATTATTGCTCTTCCAAACATTAAATTTGCTTAGCTTCGCGGCGGCCCGCGTCCGCGCGCCACACCACGCGCGCTGCGCTCGCGCACCGCGTACCCCGCGCGGCCGGCGCACACACCACGTCACGCTACGCCGCGGCTCCCCTTCCCCGTCTCCCGCCATGCTGTAACGCAGGTAGATTTATTTTTTGTATACAATGAAATACAATTTTTATATATTTTAAACATCGAGGGCTTATGTTCAATAATACTCTCTATCTGCACACTTCACAAAGATGAGATTCTGATATAAAAATCCACCTAAACTTTAACTGTCATCGGTGATATTAATGCTACCTTATATAACGACAGGTAATAAGTCCCAGATGGTTTCTAAAATCACAAATTAGTTTTTGTGCAAATTGCAGATAGAGGGTATTAACGAATTCAAGCCCTCGATATTTCACATTTTTATATTTGTAAGCTATTAGGAGCAGGGATGCCAACTTGGCTCAAACCGTGCCATTTGTCCCTATTTTACTTCAAATTCACTTCACTTTCAAATGGCACTTAATTTTTAAATTTGGCACAAAGTGCCAAAATGGCACTTTTGCAAAAAAATAACATTTCAATACATTTTTGTGATATCCTTTGCGTGCATTTCTTTTTCTCAACTAAAATTTTCTAATTTATAAAGGCTATTTAACTGGTTTACTTATTTTATCATTGCACTTTTGTTTTGAAAATGTGGCTTTATTTTATTACTAAATTTGAATGATTAAAAGGAATGACAATTTTTTGGCACTTTTATTTTTCTATTTGGCACATTTTGGCACTTTTTTATCCTCAATATGGCACCTCATAACTACGGATAGTTGGCAGCCCTGATTGGAAGATTTCTGCTGTGTTTTGGCAACAACTTGTCTGCAGTAAAAAATCATATAATTTGTGTTTCAAAAGTGTGTGAAACCCAATCAATTAATTTACATCAGACATGGGCACTTTTTGCCCGCGCAGTAGCGACGGTGCGAGCGCGGGCTGG